CTCTTGGCAGGGGGATTTGCAGACTGCAAGGCACCTTGTGGTTAGGAACTGACACCCCTGCCTGTGCTTCGCTGTGAATCTGTCTCTCCCTTTATTTACTGCTAAGATTTTTTGCCTCATCCAAATCATGTCAATCCATGTAGACAGAAAGGAGGACCTTTTCTCTATAATACGGCCATGGGAGGAAAGAGACTGCAGTATCAAAAGCAATATAAGTCTGATGAGCAGTCAATATGCTGGAAATGTAAGTAGCTTTTCTATGTAAAAGCCTAGCATGGAGTTAAGTGAGGTGGTATGTTGTCTAGAGATTTCTTTTGGAGTAAGTAATGTAATGCCGTACAAAGGGTTTCTATCGACACTTCTATCTCTGAGCAAAGCCATATGTAATGTGTTGTTATATATTTTTTTAATGGACTTGATGTAATGACATGGGAAAAGATGTGGGAAACATAATAAATACTGCTGGAATGGGTGGATGCCATTTTAAATAACCACATGAAGTCTGCCTTTCTCAGCTGTATGGTGGGCTGTAGGGTTGCTATCATGTTCAGCGACGTGCGCCAAACACTGTTCAATTACTTTTTTTCTCTGAGTCTATTCACTGAGAGACCATTATTGCGGATCCTGGGCTGTCAAGAGAAGCTTAGACTCCTGGAATGAGCTAACTCCCTGCTGGAAAGAAACTAACAGCAAGTTCACAGGTTACAGCTGCATCTCTATGTGCTTGAGTCCTGTTGTGAACGTAAATCTCTTTTGTTAGTGTAACTGCCTTCTCAGCAGTATCTCAGCCAGGTCCTTTACAGTGTGATCAGAAATCTGGGTAGCTTGAGATCCCCAGGTAGCTAAAGGCAGAGTTTAAATAACAAATGTAAGTGCTGTAGGTTGACTTACAGGAAGTACAGTGATATGAGTGAGATGCCCACTCCTGAGGTTGGTGCCCAAACACTGTGTCCTATCCTTGAGGAAGCCACAAGTGTCCATGAATTGGAAGCCCACAGGATATTTACATAGCTAAATGGAGAGGTATCCAAATTAATGCTGCCTCCATGCAAAGCTGGCTAGATGTTACTTGCTCAGTCCAGAAGCCACGTAACCACATCAGTTTTCGCTTTACTTAAGCTGATAATCTATGTTGGGAGAGTTGATGCAGCTGAAAAGTAGTGAAGCCCTCTAATTCTATATCAGATGTTTGGTTCTTTTTTTTTTTTTTTTTATATAACCTTTTAAGTTCATTGCCTTACTTTCTTTTAAT